TTTGAGCGCATATTGCGGACGGTCGGTGGGAACGAAGTGACCGGCTCCCTATAAAATCATTTGAACTTTAAGGAAAGGCAGTAAGTCTTAAAAGAAGTACTCTTCAATACGCTACCTTTACAGTAAGCTGCACGACATTATTTGTCCGCACTTCTTGATGTAGCCGACGACTTGGGGAAGGACAGTCGGGGTCTGCTTGTACCACCATTCGGTGCGGGGTAGTGTCACCTGAAGCGTCGAAATCAGCAGGTTATAAAGCCGATGTCTTTAATCTTTAGGATATATCCATCATATTTAGACACTTACATTAAGCCCACGATCGACCACCAGATTTTCGATGAACCACTGGTCGCCCAGGAATTGGCAAATCGTGTCGACGTCTCCGTTGTAGATCAGCATTCTCATGTTGTTCGTGTCGTACCTAAAGAAATTTTAGAAATAAGAGAGAAAAACGTACCACTTCGATGAAAGGATATCCCGGAAAACCTGCGACATATCGTAATACGCCTCCAGGGCGTGGTAGCTCCAGAATGAGCTTCGATCGCTGAAAGGAGACGTTTAGATGCTTATCGTATCATTCTACGCACCGACAATCGCTCCAGGTTTCGTTGGGCCAGTAGAGCTTGGCGTGGAGGGCTTGGATGACCTCCGGGCGGTTGAGGTAGCTGAAAAACGAAAGTTAGACGATAACAGCGGTTTGAAATTGCGTTAATTACGTCTAGTTGTCTATTCTAAGCAAAATGCCGACGGTAAAAATAGCGAAAAAACCGGTCACCGATCATCAAAACGCAGACACGCAATTTACAGAAGCTTAAAACTTACACACTATGCAAACAAATTTCCTTGCAGAAGAATTTGCATGTCGGCATTTTAGGTATTAAAATTTTGGTTGTTGATATTTCGGCAGGCTGGATTATGGCTATTGTATTGCAAATTAAAAAATTTTGGATGTCAGAATTATGACCCGTCGAAGCCCTAGCTATCCTTATTTTGACTTCTCGGTATTATGCTTCTCCTCGTTTTTTCTAATCTTTTCCAAGTCGACTCACCCCCAAGTTCCTCCGTCAGCAAAGCAGCTCAAGCCATTGTTACTATCAGTCGAACCGAAGTTGGATTTATTGTTGTTGTCTTGATACGGTTGAGCGGCCTTGATCTGGTTGGTCAGTAGTTGGTGGGCTTTGTCGGAAGACTGTACAGAGGAGCGTAACGTGGTTAGTAAGGGAGGAAGGTACCTGTCCTCTCCTATAACGACGAGCCTCCTGTCTCCTATCCAACGCCAGCTGCTTCATCTGATCCGCCTTGTCGGTGTAGCAGTCCATGTAGATGCTGTATGGGTCGTAGCTGAAAGAAAATGGAAAATAATATAAACAAAAAGCAAAGCATATAAAACAAGTCAAGTTATTCTGTAAAACTAGTTATATAAATAAAATATGATTAAGATTACATGTTTTCATAGAAGTTGTTGATCACACGATCGACGACACGTCCACAGGGAGATCGATCAGAGTACTGGTCGTAGTCGCATTGGAACGGGTTTCCGGTGTCGACGCAGCACATTTGTTGCACGGCTTTCCAGTCACTAAAAAAAGAGCTTTTGGGAAAAGTACACGAGGTTTCTGTAGACAATTTTTCGTACGTCGTCTAACGTTGGTATGGGGGATCGTGACGGAATTCGGGGTAGGCGAGAACGAGATAGTGCGAGAGACAGAGAACGCGAGAGAGAGAGAGAGAGAGGAAAGAGAGAGGGAGGAGAGAGAGAGAGAGAGAGAGAGAGAGAAAGATATATATAGAGAAAGCCATAATACTCACTCAAAGCCGGTAAATCCGTGACCGTACTGCAACGGAACTTGGGAGCTGTCTTGGAGGTACTCGCTGAGGATGCCGTTTCCAATGGCCATTCCCTAAAGAACGACAAAATACCCGTGAATCCTTTTTCACATCAGATGCGAAACCTCTAAGCCCTACCTTTAAGTTCAACTCCAAGTTCCCGCTGCTGATGAGCGCGATCAGATTCCTGGTCAATGTCGGGCCGTACACTCCGGCGTAGCTCTCCCCGGACACGAAGAACTCGTTCTTTCTGTATTGGGGGAAGACGCCGTCGAAGAAATCTTTGATGGCCCAGGCGTTGTCGAGAGCGGTCTATAGTTAATTATCGTAGTAGGCCTATAAAAATTTAATACCGTATCGTCGGTGTTGTTGAACCTCGTCGCGTCCTCGTAGTAGGAGAATCCGACGCCAACTGGGGCCTCCATGAAGATGACGTTTGCCTAAATTTTGTTGGTGTCATTGCTGCCCGGCTTGAAATAGACATAAGAAGAGAAAGAAAGAGTGAGAGAGAGACAGAGAAAAGTAGTAAAAGAGAGAAAAACCGAGAAACCGAAAGGGTGCCTACCTTCTTATTCCAAGCAAACACGTTCTCATAGACCGTCTCCCCGTTGTCGTTATTCGGATGGAGAGGACCCAATTCCGTGAAGAAACCGCCTTAAAATTCAATATTCTGCATGCTCCGGAAGGAAGGAATACCTAGAGAGCTGCAGCCAGGACCACCATTCAACCAGAGAAGCACGGGATCGTTGACAGGATCGTTTTGGGACTCCACAAACCTGAACTCGCCTATCTTTTTCCTAGTCCAAAACGCACCAATAAAACAAATGGTGCGTCTTCGCGACCTGCGGGGTCAGATATCCGGAGAACATTCGGTAGGTGATCGGGAAGGTGATGCCGGGGAGGCTCTGGATCATGTCCGCCTTAGCTCTGGCGTTCAGACCAGTGTCGTTGGTGTTGAAGGGAGGCTAAAATTGGATATCTTTATCAATCTCGATCTAGCACTCGCTCATTCACGCGCTCTCTCGCTCTCTCTCTCTCTCTCCATCTCACCAACCACGTCAGGAGCAGCCTGTCTCTCCTCAGCCTGATTCATCTGACATCCGCTCAATGCCTGGTACGCCGGATTCTTTTTGGCCAGCTGGATGGTGAACGGCACCGGGATACTGTAGTTTGCGCTACCCATCACGAAGTTGTAGATCATCTGCAGCGCCGGACCAGGGCGATCTAACGGGACGTAGTGGCCAGCACCCTGAATTGAAGCTTTTGATAATTTATGCACCCTTGAATTGTCTGTTTTCTCAGGAAGCACTAGGTTTGAGGCAAAGGATTTTCAAAATGGAGAGACGGAGTCCTATTACTCCATGAGGCATACTGTACTTACCTTAACAGTCAGCAAATCCAGATTCTTGTTGAAGCGCTTGACCTGACCGACAGCCACCGGGGCGTTGTCTGGAGTTTGTTGGTACCACCACCAGGTGCGGGATTGGTTTGTCTATACAATTTTGGGGGTAATTTTTATATTTTGGTGATACTTACGTCTAGTCTGGCGTGGGACTGCATGTCGTACTCGACGAAGTACTGTGCTCCCAGGTGGTTACAGACCTGAATATAGTAGTATACCGTAGCAGATTATGACACTTAAGCTACGCTATGTTAATTTTCCGTCATAGTATGGCTTTAGGTTTATTTGCATGTATATGCATTTTGGGGCCGACGCACCATGTCGATTTTTCAGTTTCCCATGCTCAACTCTCAAACTAAGGTACCTTATCAACATCTCCGTTGTAGATCAAAATCCTCATCCCATTGGCCTTGTAGTAATACGAGTTGATGATGCGCTCAAAGTCGTCGAGCATCGTCAGCTTGTCGTTTTGGACGTACAGGTTTGAGAAGATGGTGTCACTAAAAGCAGGTTTTCGTACTTTTCGTACTTGAGATTTTCAACTTTAGAAGCGATGAGACATTAGAGGCGGCATCTGCGTCTAACGTTTGGAGGCAGAACTCACTTGAAGCTGGTCCACGGTGGTAGTGACGTTGGAATGTGAAGTGCGGTACGTACGCTTTGCGGATTCATTAATTCTGTGGAAGCAGTTAGTCCCCAGCAGGGGAAGCCGTTCCACGGATCGGTGGATTGGGTGTTGATCTTGTCCTGAGAAGTTGTTGTAGCTCTCTATCCCCCACTCTCTCTTCTCTATTTCTCTCTCTCTCTCTCTCGCTCTCTCTTTCCCTACCCCGTTATTCTGGAACGCCGCCGCGAAGAGTGGGTTGCTGTTATTCGGCGGCATCGCGACGTTGAAGCAGTCTTGGTAGATGTTGTACGGGTCGGTGGTGCCGTCGTCATTGTACCACAGCATATCGGAGGCGTACTTGACGGTCTGAAAAAGTATTTATGTCACTCCAGGAGCACGAGTAGGTATTCTCACCAAAGTCCCACACTCTCCGCTCCCATTCTTCGGCAAGTAATTTCCATGTGAATCTACAGTGATGTAGTCGAAGTAGTTGCACTCGGTTGGGTCTCGGAGGTGGGACTGTTGCTTCTTACAACAAGTGTCAACGAGGTAGTCGTATTCACTGTAAAAAGGATCATGAGGAACCGGGAAGTCAAACTCAAAAAGATATGTGCAAGCTGCTTACGTTTTTCCGATAATTCCGTAGAGGTAGTGCATGTTGATGACGCCATTGACTTGGTCTCGGTAGTTGATCAAACAAATTTGCCATTGCCATTCCCTAAAAAGCGGAATTTGTAGAGACAAGAGTAAGAGAGAGAAATCAGAAAGAAGAGACAGAGAGAGTCAAAAGAGGCAAAAGAAAGCTAAGAGACAGAGGCGAGTGAAACGCTCTCTCACCTTGAAATTAACTTCCAGCTCTATACAGCTGATCTCCTGCAACAGCCCTTTAGTCAACATCGGCAAATAAATGCCATGCTCCCTTTCTCCGGTGACGAAGAATGGGTTCTAAATTGAAGCAGTTTAGCAGAGATTCTTGGGGAAACCCCTATCCCCCGTGGCCAACGAAATCAAAGATCCACCTTAGCATACTCCGGGAAAACGTTTTGGAAGAAATCCTTGATGGCAGCGACATTTTCCTTGGCCGTCTAAAGGAGCGAAACGTAATTTTTAGCCGCCGAAAAATACCTGATTATTATTGTAATCATAAGTCACTGTCGAATTGTTGATACGAATATCCGACTCCGCGAGGGGCTTCCATGTACAGGACGTTGGCAAACTAAAAATTAGATGTTAGAGGTTTGTCCAGAACATTCTGTAATTGGAGTTTTTACAGATGATTAATGCCTGATGTCTTTAAAACCATACTACTACCACATACCTTATTCCAAGAGTACGGATTCTCAAATAACGTCGTGCCATCTTGATTCACGCGGAGAAGGGACCGTTTTCTAGAAGAAACAACTGGACTATTAGGAGTTCCTATTTTTATCTTTATGGTTTTCGATTATTTCTTTGTAAAAATTGCCGACTTGGATTTATTAATTCGAATTTTTAGAATTCCGAGGCGCACCTGTGAACATTCCCCAAACCGAGGAGCTGCCGGGACCGCCATTAAGCCAGAGAAGCACTGGAGCGTTGGCAGGATCGTTTTGGGACTCGACGAACCTGAAAATCGTCTTTTATCGCTGCTCAAATTTAGTAAGAATTTTTATATTGATGTTTCCTTACCAATAATGCAAAAATCTGTTGTAGCTAGTCGCCAGGTAACCGGAGAATTGCCGGAAGTTGATCTCGAAAGTAAGCCCGGGCAGGTTAAAGATCTGAACAGAATTGTGGGTTTTCACTTTTAAATTATAGAAAGACTCAGGTAATTCTTAAGCAAGCTTTATGGCAATTTAGATCATACCTGATCAGCAGCCTTCCTGATATCCGGCTCATAAGGCCACTTGAAGTATGGCGGCTGGATGGGGGCGGGCTTCATGTTGAAGCTGCCGAGACCGTTGCTAAAATAATATTTTTATGGAGGGACATAGTAAACCAAAACAGTACGACAACATACGGTAATACAGTCAGAAACTAAATTCATACTTGTATCCCATCTGGTTCACAAAATTGTTCATCAACTGCATAGCTTGCATTGGGCGTTGGGACGGGATGAAGTGGCCGGCTCCCTAGAAATGTGTTCCGGAAGCCAAAAAAATGGAAGCGGACAAAAAGAAAGACAGAGCGAGAGAGAGAGCGCGAGAGAGTGAGCGGTAGCGAGAGAGCGACCCACCATGACAGTCGTAAAATCGATCCGATCCCTATAACGCTTCATATACCCTCCAATCGTCGGCTGGTTCTGGGCCGTGTATTGGAACGTCCATTGTTTTCCCTCGGCCACAACCTAAACTACGTCTTGTAGAAGGATGACGATAAAAAAGCAAAGAAAGCGCTTTAGATAGTTTTTAAGACTTACGCTCTCATTTGTTGCCTGGGCAAATCGCTCTGTAAACCATTGGGCTCCGATGTGATTGTTGATCGTGTCGAGGTCACCGTGGGCAATCAGGAGCTAAATTTAGACGCTAGTAAAGTTAACTCCATTAAAC